AGCCCTCATTTCAGCTGTTGTGGGGAGAAAGTTGATGGAGGTGATGTTGTAATTTTGCACTACTGCTGCCTGGTGTTTGCATGGTGCCCCACTATGGCCAACTGGACAAGTGCAGAGCTCCAACTCCATGTCCACTGTATAGGTGTGCCCTGATGTGGACGATCTCACCTGAAATTTCTTTTCTCCAACCTAACAGTGACATAAAGACAAAAAATACAGACATACTGGATGTTTCTCAATTATAGGAATGCACAGAACGGACTTGGAAGGACACTAGGACACAGAACACATCTTTGTGAGAATCGAGATGCACAGTGATCTTGTTACTCAACTAAGCATCCCAGCAGTAAAGAGAGGGACAGCATTAATTAACCAACAATTTTTTTACCTGAGAAATATCAGATGCTTTTATATTACTTTGTGTAGCAAGTAATCTTGACCGGTGGAATGCCTCCCAATGGCCAAGTGCAACGTCTGTCACACGTGCTTTATAGTACATCTCTAGTCGGGTGATGAAAAGGTTGAATAATTGAGGCAGGTTGAATGCTTTTGTCCTTTGAAGTATTTTGTCTTTCAAGACACGCATTGCAGCCTCCACATAGTTATTTGTTTGGTTGCCACGTGTTGGCAAGTCCCTCCTATAGCTGAGAGTCCAACTCTCACGTCGACTGTAAAGACTCTGTAGATAGGTCAGGAACTTCCTGTATCTGTAATTAGTAACAAAAGAAACTGTAAAGAATAAATACAATACAATAAAACCCTCAGAATAGGCCTCTGGAGAGTAAACGCATCAGAAGTACTACTAAATATTTAAGCTACCTCTACCTGTCTACTATTTTCTCTACCTGGTGGTCAAAGGGTTGTCAAGGGCTTGCTGGTAGAGTAATTCAACTGTACTCATCTCCCTGGCATAAAGCATGTCTTTTACTATGCTGAACAGTGTCTGCCTGTCCTTCATCTCAACTTTGTGTTCTTTGTTCCACAACCACCTCCACACAGCTTGCAGAAGATGAAATATGCAGAGCACTTGTGCGGCTTCAGGAAAGACCTGTGCTATAGCTCCCTTCTCTGCCTTTGAGTCCTCTGTCAAAAACACATGAGGGCCTGCCTCACCTCGCCCTCCAAAGGCAGCATTTTTCAATAAGGACTTCAGCAGCTCCAGTCCCTCACGAATTGTGTTCTTATGTTCTGACTAGGTTATCACTATCCCAAGAGGACGACCACCTGCACAGGTGTGTGTGAGGAGGAGAAACACCCTGCAGTTCTCCCGGTCCATGTTACCAGATGAATCCATAAAACACATTCCTCCACTATTGGAGAGACTGTGTGTTTGTTTCATCAACGGGCAACAAATGGCTACAAGTGGTGTTCCTGCTGAAGACATTTTAAGCTTGGCGCATTACAGGCTGCATTGTAGGATTCTACCTGCCTTTCCAAAGCCGCTATCATTCCCTCCCCACTTTGCTATTCAACTTCTGATACAGTCTGCAAATGAAATTGATTGTCTTGACTACATAAGTCTGTCAAAGCAACTGATTTGTACCAAGTAAAATTTCACATACCTGTAGCAAAACTGAAGGTCTGGGCAAATGGCACGGTTGGCTGAGACATATACATATTTGTTGCCATGCTCAGCCAACAGGTCACTTTTAAGTACAGCCAGAGCTGAGGTTGGGCTGTGCCCAACCTCAAACAACTGAGTCAGGGTTTCAATTACCTTGACCCCTACATCCTTGTGCCTCAGTGCCTCCGCAACAAAGATGTTATGATTATGTACATTGTACAAACGGACAGAAGTTGGGTAAGTGGGTATATGGGGATCATTGCAAATGGCACGGTTGGCTGAGACATATACATATTTGTTGCCATGTTCAGCCAACTGGTCACTTTTAAGTACAGCCAGAGCTCTGGGCTGTGCCCAACCTCAAACAACTGAGTCAGGGTTTCAATTGCCTTGACCCCTACATCCTTGTGCCTCAGTGCCTCCGCAAAAAAGATGTTATGATTATGTACATTGTACAAACGCACTTTTCCAGAAGTTGGGTATGTGGGTATATGGGGATCATTGCTCCTGAAAAATAAAAACAAATCACACAAAAAGCAGGCAAAAGCACTTATTTTATCCCATCTTGACATTTCTAACTCACCTACTAGTTCCTCCCCTTTTGTCTGTAGTCTTCACCAGATTGCAAACCAGTTTTGCCTCACAGCATGTATATTTTGACAGCCGTCTTTGATTAGCCGTGTCTGATCGGACATAAACATTGTGCTGGCACCTATAATGAGCCTAAAGATAGACAGAATATGTACAGAAGTGTGCACAAATCTTAGACATGTTCAATTTTTTATTTAGTTATTTATATCTTTTGTATTAGTCTGCCAATAGAAACAATTATTTTACATGTCCAAACTTACATTTGGCCATTAATTGTAATTATTACAATGAATAATAATTCCAGGAAAACATCCCACTAACATACAACATCTCTTCTTCCAGGGAGAAAATGGCAGCAAGAAGTCCAACAACAAACAGTATGGACCACACAGAAATCTAATCTCACCATCAGAGTCCAACAGGGATTACATGAAGAGACAAAAAAAAATTTTTTTTTTAAAGAGACAGGCTACATCCTGTGCCAATATCTCCAAGACCTTTGAACTTTTGCATCAACCTGCAAAGCCGAAAAATTGAAAAATGTATATGCATTTGTGAAAAATGTTGTAAATTGAGGATGCTTTCAAAAATAATGTAAATAAATTATGTCATGAATACATTTTTTTTATTATTGTTTTAGATTTTATTATTTAGATTTTCAGGTAGATTTCTCCAAGTGTATTGGAGATGTTGCCACAGGATTTAGTCTCTCTCCATTTTTTTCTCTTTATGCAATCCCAGATGGACTAGATGATGGTGAGATTAGATCTGTGTGTGAATCATATGATTTCGGACTCCCTGTGCATACAAAAATCCATCCATCCATCTCAATTAAATGGTTCTGATCCCAAACTTTTGACTGTTAGTGTGTGTGTGTGTGTATATATATACAGTGGGTACGGAAAGTATTCAGACCCCCTTAAATTTTTCACTCTTTGTTATATTGCAGCCATTTGCTAAAATCATTTAAGTTCATTTTTTTTCCT